ATTGGCTTGTCCAGCAGCTAACCGAGGGCCATTCAGGGAGAAGAAAACATTAACTGAAACTTTCAGTAATGGGGCCAATGTTCAATTTTAAGACTGTGTTCTCCAGAAAACACAGTGAATGTGAACTTACTAACAAAACAGTGGATGAGCTCTGGCACCTATCAGGTCTGATCTTTAACAGTAAGCTGTAATTCTTCAGACTGGGAGCTCTCTAGCATGCAGTATAGCCACAGACAGCCTGAGACCCAGCCTCCAGTCCTCACAAGCATTTGCATTATTCAGCATTTTATCTCATACCTCTGCTGGGTAAAATTTACAGTCAACTGTGTGCTCTGAACCCCAGTCGTTTATAGCTCCCCAATGGAAGTGGAACTGCTTTAGCCTGTACTGATTTTCCAAGGGACCTCCATCAATTACTAAAAACGAAAACAAGACAGACATATTAATAAACATGAGTTAGAATTGACCAGACAAGTAACACAGCAAGAGCCTCCTTGAAATACATTTGCTCAGGAAAAAGATGAGGTGGAGCAACTTATCTTAACTGAAAAAGTCCCCTATTGCTTAGCTACTTTTACACTTTACTTTGCTGTAACAAAATTGTTCAAGCAAACACACCAGTGTTTCCACCTGCAGTCTGAATCAACTATATCAAACTAAAGATAAGCTAAATAGTCTCCTTATCCATCTCCCCTCAAGGGAGTTTTCTGTCCAGTTCACATCCAGTTTGGCAGAGTGGTGATTACATGATATGATCTTTCATCTTCTCTTTGAGCAGGCATATGAGAACTGCCTTACCCCAAGAAACATGTGTAATGACAAAGCAATTAATACATCTACTAAATGACATCGCAGCAAAGCCTCATCATCCATGAAAAACATTGAAATTTCCCATGACAAGGCTTCAAAAATCCAATTCTGCCAGAAAAATCAGCACATTGTGTCAAACATTCAATTATGCTGTTCTTCAAGTTATAAAAATCCAAACATACTATTCTGCTTCAATATAACTTTCAGACTTCATAACCAATGCTAAAGGTTTTCTGCACAGCCAGAAATATATTAATATTGTGTCAACTGTGAACTGTTTAAGCTACACTCCATGAAACATCAATGCACAAGATTCTGAGTTTCTGGAAGCTTTAACGCACTTTTTAGCCATGAGGACAGGTAAACACTGCTCTCCTGATTTCAGAAGGCCTCTCATCATTTTGCAAATACACAAACGAAAAACTCGAGGCATAGTTTTCTGTGTACTGTTGGGTTTTACTCATTTCTTCCTAATCAAACCAGGAACATGCTGCAAAGCCTTCTTCCTAGTTACTACAGGACAACTCCTACATGGTAAATGAGAGACCGTAATTACTTCCAAAGGGCTAATGACAAATATGCAGTTGTAAAGTCCCATTTGCTGATTTTTACTTAACTGTTCGTCGTGGTTAAATTTTATAGGAAACTACTGTATAAAGTGCATAACCCCAACACTATTTGAAAAGAAGTTAATCACTTTAATGCTAAGGAGAAGACAATGAAAGGTATTAAGAGCTTTTCTTTTCTTTTTTTTTCCTGAAAGCCAGCCAGTAGAATTCTAACTAGGTAGGCCTGCTTGTGATAGAAGAGTAAGCTACTGTCAATTAACTGACATTCATTTCATCTGCTGCTGCTGAGCCTTTAGCATAAATGCAATAATGACCATGACTAAAAAATCACAGTGGAGAAAGGTAACTTATAGGGATAGGATGAAGATGTGGCCCACTGCAAAGTCCTTCAGAATTAAAAGTCTCTGTGCTCTAACACTACCCATTCCTGATTTTGTGGTGATGCAAACCCACAAGTAACTACATTGATGTTAATAATCACATTCACTTGAATGATTGCCTCACGAGTAAAGTTAGGCACAGGGGGACACATGTAGAAAATCAGGTTCCTGTAGTGAACACCAGAAAGTGACAGGAAATAAACAGGAATTTACAGTCCCTTTACAAGCATTTTTCCCATTTCATTTCCTCTCAAATCACCAGTCTTGAAAATTTCAAAACAAAAAAGAAGTCTAAGGGAACTCTAACAACAATCAGGAGAAATAATCACATCAGCTTTTTACTGTAATCCTCACTCTGTTTCAGTCTCATTTCCTTGCAGCAGATGGCATACATGCACACAGACAGGACCACACTCAGTACATACCTTCCCCAAACCCTTTCTTCTTCATCTTCCTGATCTGCTCATAAGCAAACACCCCATGGCAGCACTACCTTCATCTTTTGCCCAAGTCTTGTTTTGCCCCATCTCAGAAGTTGGGCATTTTTGTCTATCCTGGGTGCATACTTCATTCTGTCTTTTTCATCTTCTGTTTCAATTTTGTTGCTTTTCTTTATTCCTATGCTTCCTTCTCTGGATTTCTATTATTGTTAGACAGAAGCTGGCAGAAAGAAAAATCAGAAATAGGAAGTAAAGACAGAAAAGATAGAGGAGAGAGGTAGGCACTTGAAAACATGGCCATTTATACAGCAACATCCCATGATCTGTTGTTTCTCTGTCATTCTGGAGTCCTGTCACCTGTCACTGATCATTTCATGTCATCCTCCAATAGCCACCATCATTCTTCATTGACTCTAATTCATCTGAAAGGAGATGATGATGATAAGGCAGCCAT